ACCCGGTTGTGTACCTAATTGAGCCCCTCCCGATTCCCCTCTTCCTCTTCCATTTCTTCAGAGGTTCGGACAAGCCTCAATCATTCATTAGAGCACGATCAAACAAAAGATGCCATCATGTCAAGTCTTTTGCAGTCAAACGACATCTGCCGAAAAGATCTCAACATCTGGCCATCTACGCCTAAATTCCGCCAGCCTCAGCCCTCGTATGCTAACTGCCTAGACTGCCCATCGACCATTGCGGCAAACGCAGACCCTCTTGTCATTGGTGTTCAAGAGCTCGTTTACAGAGTCCGCACAGCCAACCTGCGGTTATGGGGAATGTTCCTCTTGAACTGCTGGCTCCAGGATATGATTCTCCCTTCTAAAATTAATTCAACTTCATTGATTGACGCCTAGAAGACTTGACAAAGGTCGGTCGCAAGCTGTGCCTGCGTGCACCGCTTCAGGGAGACGGACCAGTCAAGAGTCTCAATCGACGCTCTTTGAACGCGCCATTCTGATTTCGTCGAATCTCAACCCGTCTTGCAACCGGCCCTTGGAAACTCTTTGCCCATTGTGGGTCGTGCAACCAAGCAAGAAGAATCGGCACGGGAAATTTGATATTCAGGGAAACGGCGGCGCAAGGCTGGACGCAACCCAAGGCCCCTAATGGAATATCAATAACAGGTACTCCGTCCTCCAGCTGAGACATGTCGGCATGTCACTTCGTCCCGCTGGCAAAATACGATGTTAGTTGTCGTTCTCGTCTATCTTGTCAGGAGTTTTGATTTGGACACACCACTCCACATGGTGATGGATGCTTTGTTCACGCGCCTTGATCCAGATGTACTGACCTTGAGTCCTTCCAGTGGAGTCTACACCCGGCGCTCGAGCCCGTTGCACTCCCATGGAATCCCACGGCATACTCTCTAATCGCGGCGTTTTGTGCGGTCTCGCTATGGATGACGGTTGAATTGACCCTGCAGGTGTTTTTCACGTTCCGGCGCCACCGAGGTCTTTATTTCTGGTCGCTCCTGGTCTGCACCTGGGGTGTGGCGTTGCATGTCCTCGGCGTCATTCTCAAGCTCTTCAATGAGAGCAATTGGATCATCTCGAGCATCATCTTCAAGGTTGGTTGGGTCGGTAACGTCACAGGCTTCTCTCTCGTTCTGTACTCGCGCCTGAATCTTGTGGTTCACGATAAGCGCATTCGAAGGGCGGTCCTCTCCATGATAATCACCGACGCCATCCTACTCCATACGCCCATCATCATCTTCGACTTTGGGATTTCCTCCCCACACCCTGACATCTGGTACATGCCTATGAAGGTCATGGAGCGGATCCAGGTGGTATGGTTCAGTGTCCAGGAAACCATCATCTCGCTCATGTATATCTGGTGTACGCGCGACTTTCTCAAAGATATCTACTCGCCCCAGACACATCGCGTCATGCAGCTGCTCATCACAGCGCAGGTTATCGCAATCGTCTTCGACATCGTGCTTATTACGGTCGATTGCAACAACATGTTTACGCTAAAGGTCGTGATCCACCCGTTCTGTTACGCCGTCAAGTTGAAGCTCGAGTTCATCGTATTAAACCAGCTCCTCGCGCTGATCAAGCATGGCATCGCGCCCAGTAGCTTTCCAGCACCAGATGAGGAATCTCCAGATGCCAGTGGCCCGACGCCCCCGCGATCCGGTGCGCGGGTGGATATCAAACATGGCTCTTCCGTGAGCACTGATATTACCGCCACCGACGTGCGGGACAATGGAGTGGAAGTGTCACGGAAAGATTCTATTCTCCTGCCATCTGGCGGGCTCGGGAGGGACATGGAGTACTATCGGAAAAGAAACAAGCATAGTCCCGAGACCGAGAATGTTGATCCTGGCCTTGCCGGCGATAATACCAACAGTAATAGCGACAAGAACAAGAACGAGTCGACGCCGGGTCAGGCACTACTGAATCCCGACCCGGATGCTATCGAACCACTTCCACTCCCATCTTCGCCTCAAACGCCCTCGCCGCCGCCCCCTCTTCCTCACCCTATATTGACAGTGGAAACTTCGATATTGAGAGCCCCGGAGAGGCCGTCGTTTGAACCCCAGCTGCCCGCGAGATCCCTCTCGGATCCGACGCCGCTAGGAACAGCGCAACGGGAACAAGACTCGGAAGCAATTGTGGCGGAGATCGAGAGACACTATCTGGGGAATTGGAACGGTTAATTAGACCTCTCTTACCATTAACTAATTCGTACACGAAAGGAAGCATGCGGGATAATCGAAGCTCCTCTCTGTCTCACACATCATGGGCCTGCTTCGGGCCGAATTCAATCTTGCACAGCACAGCAGCCCTTCCAAGCTCACTCTGCACTCGGTCCCGGCGAGCAACGACAGATAGGGTCGACTGCTTCCGGGAGAAGGGTTTGTCAAATTTGGCGCACCTCTGTGCCCGTCACAAGTCCAGTATATCTAGCCCATACTCCGTGGGACAGCAGTCGCCCTTGACTCGGTTCTTAATATATGTTCTTGGTATTGCACCCGCCTCCTTTTCAACGTCGACTGTACCCCGGCGTTGCCTCCTTTATCTATTAGACATCGTCAAGAAAACGAGTAGAACCAGGACATGGAGGAAGAGGCCTAATTTCGAAGTGAGTCAAGAGCGACGTCGACGAGGATGGGGTTTTGCCAGCCCTCAGTTCGCATGAATAGTACGGAGGCGCCAACTGCTTGAAGGGGGGTGGCGCAATGCGTTCTCATTAAGATAGCTGGCTGCCTAGCTACCCGGTTGGTTTGGAGATCTCGAGGCATGTGATGAAACAAAAAGAACACATTGAATTGTAGGTGGGTAGCTCCTTCTGAGGAGTGGTCGAGTAAGAGTGCTGGTAGAGGTGCAGTTGAAGAGAGCCACAGTGGTCAATTAAAAGCGGCGCGTACCGAGTACACAATAGTCCATTGCACCACGTGCACTTCGATATGCCGAGGCCCAGGAAAGAACCTCATTGACTTCATCGACCATCGTGAGCATCGACTGACTCCCAAGTTGTCACGCTACTCAAGCTACTCTCCTACGCGAAACACCCTTTTCCGACCTTAGAGACGAGGATATCATCATCATTCTGTCCCGCGGGAATTTCAACAGAGAAATTGACAGCCGGCACAGCATGGCACACCAAGTCATCGTCTGCGGGGCAGAGTACTCCAAGAGCTCCTCATTAGCTCGCTCCCTGCCGGCTATTCCCCTCAAAAGGGATTGAGACACGAACCCATCCTGATGTTTCCGACCGAGAGAACCTCGGAAGAGAACCAGATTCACGCGGTAAGCAGAGAGCCGTCTAGCTCGGAGACGCGTGGTAGTCCTTTTCTTCTGCTCCACCTTTCACAGCTTAAGAGAAGAAATTGTGGTGGAGTGGTGCCGCAGCTGTAGTAGCAGCAGTGGGTGTCTCATGTTCTTGTACCCAGTAGTATAAAGACCAAGGTACCGCTTCTCAGAATCCCCTAAGCCACCATGACGGACGCATTCTCCCAGGCAAGCAGGCGATTGAGTCAGATCAAGGATTCCATCATGGGCAAAGTAGCCACCACCATCCCCTTCGACCCAGAGTCGACCTCGTTCCCGACTCGCAAGAACCTCCCCAAGATCGTGGGCGCGCCCGACGAAGCCGCCTGGGTCTGGGGCAAGGACGACTACATCGGCCGGCTGAACCTGTTGACGCCAACGCGCGTCAAGGCCGCCGCCGCCCACGAAATCCGCACGGGCGAAATGGCCCGACTGGACCTGCCGCTGGACGTGCCGCTGCAGCCGGCCTTTGGGCGCCAGAAGTTCGAGCACAAGATCGTGCCCATCGCCGAGGGCATCTCCTACGACGACATCTACCACATGAACACGCAGTCCGGCACCCAGTGGGACGGCTTCCGGCACTTCTCCCACATCGCCACGCAGACCTTCTACAACAACACGCACAAGGACGACATCATGGGGCCGACGGCGAACGACCACAAGTGCAGCATCCACCACTGGTCCGAGCACGGCTTCTCCGGCCGCGGCGTGCTGCTCGACTACCGATCGTACGCCGACAGCGTGGGCATCAAGTACGACACGGCCACCTCCCACGCCATCAGCTATGACGACCTGGTCGCCTGCGGCAAGCACCAGGGCCTCGATATCCGCCCGCAGGCGCAAGGGGGCGACCTCAAGATCGGCGACATCCTGCTCATCCGTTCCGGCTGGGTCGAGGACTACTACAAGCGGGCGCCCGAGGAGCGTGACCGGCTCGCCCTCCGCCACGGGCCCGACGCCCAGTGGTGCGGCGTCAAGCAGGAAGAGGCTGTCAAGGACTGGCTGCACGACTGCTACTTCGCGGCCGTGGGCGGTGACGCCCCCGCCTTCGAGCGCTGGCCCACTCCCGAGAATTACTACCTGCACGAGTTCATCATCGCCCTCTGGGGTATGCCCCTGGGCGAGATGCTCGACCTGGAGAAGCTGAGCCAGTTGTGCAAGAAGAACAAACGCTGGACCTTCTTCTTCAGCAGTGCCCCCTTCAATTGCCATGGTGGCGTGAGTAGTCATGTCAACGCGACGGCCATATTCTAGACGGAAAAAGGGGATGCCGGAGTGTTTATGAGTGAACGACGCTGGTTAACGCACGCACACACAACACGGGAGAAGTGGTCGACATGGTTTACTACGGGATTCTCACGGCAGAAATTGAATGAGAGATGGCTGTTGGAGAGGGAGACATCTCGAGTTAGAAGAAAGTGGTGCGATTGTCTGTGGGGAAAGGAGACGTGTGCTGGATTGGTCAGAAGCGCTCCCCTTGTTAGGAAGATGCGGAGACGACCATAAGATACAAAACACCAACAAAGGTCGCATCCTCGAAGCATTTTGGCTGTTTGAAAAGGCTCCAACATAACGGTCGAAAGATCTTCTGGTTAAGTTATATCCCGTTGGACACACAACCCTATCCGATCAAATCAGATACTGAGCTACTGAGCTACACCACACCAATGCCACCTAAAGTTTTATGTCTTGACCCCCTCCCGCTTCTCGGTGGCTTCGGCTTCCTTCTCTCCATTTTCTAGCGCAGCATCTTGCTTTTGTTCCTCCTCTTCTTTTGTCGCGGGAGCTTCAGACGGTGGTACTGGTGGCGCCGCACTGCTGATGACCGGTTTTGCTTGGACGACGTTCACGATGTGTTCGCCCAGGTCTCCTGATCCGTCGATTTTGCTGATCCGGAGACTGAAGAATGATGCGTCTGCCAGTAGCCTAGGTTCAGCTCCCATCAGCATAAAAAAGTTCATATCTAGACCCACGGGAGGTTCTGTATTCTGAGACCTGCTTACCTTTCCTTTGCCCTGACCGACTTGATGGTCACATCCTTGTATGCATTCGTCCACTGCTCTCGGTAACTTGCAAACACCGGCATCATTATCCCCGCAACCACCGGTTCCGGTAAATGCTTGGCCAACACTTTTTGCAACGTGGCCGTTTCTTTCGTCAATGTCTCCATGTAGGGCGACACATGGACGGCTTTGTTCTTGGCCGCTTCTTCCCAGTCAATGTTCTTCATTGCCTTGACATGCATCGAGGCTCGCCCGGACATGATGTCGACAAGCTTCTCGTGGATACCGTTTTGATGTTCCTGGAAGAGACGCTTGACTTTGTCGAACTCGTTCATGACTTGTGAGGTCGTCGAGGAAGGAAGGTGGCGGCGGAAGAATTCTCTCACATAGGGTATGAGTGCGACGATGAAGCTCAACCCCTGTGACGACAATGCCAGGTGTTTTGTCGTGATGTTCTTCAACCCTGCACTCCTAGTAGCGCCGGCTCCCAAGATCAGCTGGGAGCTTCGTGAATTAAACAACTTCAGACTCTCCAGCAACGAAGTGGCAACTTCATGGCTCATACTGGGGATGCCAGCCGCTAGGTGTTGGAAAGTTTCCATGGATCGTAACATGGCAATGGCAGATTCCGGAAGTATGTACTTCTGTTCATCAATCATGGCGCTGCGCACCTTTGCAGTCGCAGCAGCTGTTCCGTTAGGTGCGACGCCGTTGCTTGTGTTGACACCGTTGGTCAAAGTTTGCCAGATCATCGTACTTTCAATCCAGGGAAGGGCGTCATTAGTGCTGCCTTCCATGACCCGAGCGAGGATCTCATTCTCGCCCTCGCCAAAATCCCTAGCATCCCATTTATCAGAATCCATGACCTTGATCACTTCATGCTTCTGGGAGTCTGCAAATCGCGCCACGAAATCCTTAATTTGGCTGTCGAGAACGCTCTTGAGGCCCGTGCCGCTGCGGCCAGATATGGCTTCACATTCATCGGCAAACAGCCTGTTAAGCGTGAAGTACTTCAGGAAATCAGACAAAGACAATTCCGAGTTCTGCTGTGACCGGACTCTGACTACCTTCGCGATCTGTGCCTGTGCAAGATCCACCCCCTCTCCTAAGAGACTCGAGAGATCTAAGACTTGCTGCATTTCTGCTTGCACGGAACTCGTAGCTCGGGGTCGGCTTGGTTGGGGGCTCATAACTCTGTCGATACTTGCAGGGTCAGGAGTTCTTGGAGGTGATTTAATCATGTGCTCTGGCAAGTTGCTTGTGATGTCCAGCAAAATTTTGACCTGCACGCTGAGCCGGCGCAGGCCTTCACTAATGTTTGTGTAGATAGTCGCAAGCATCTGATACCAATCTTGTGCGTCCAGTGCTCTCAAATTTCTAGCCAAAATCGATGACTTCTCTTGCTGGCTCATATTTCTTCCACCCATCGTCGAGGCAGAAACTGTAGAAACATTGTCGTCGTCGTTAGAGCTCGGGAGCTGTTTTCGAATCATGCTTTTCATCTCTCGCAAGACGATCGCTCTGAAACTAGTAGCTGCCGGAGTGGTATACCTGGCCCTCGATAGACCTCTCATCTCAGCTTCAAGTTCATCCCGTAGCTCGGGCCCAATATTCATGTACCCTGGGAAAGCGGAAGGGGCTCTTCTTTGGCCTGGTTTTGGTCTTGTATACGCGACTCCCCATCTTTGAAGGGTCATGCTAGTCTCCGTGTGCTCAACATGTCGTCTGATGTCACTGAGCAGGCTGTTGTGAAATCGTGCCTCATAACCCCGACCAGCCCGCTGACGCAATTGATTCAAGTCATCGAAGGCGCCCTCGAGGGCCTTGATTCTTCGCAGATCACGTCTTTGGTATCGAAGTGACTGGTTCGTATCCGGGGCCTTGCTCTCCTTGCCTGCCATCAACGCTTCTACGTCATCTAAACCATCCAATGCCTCATCAATCTCGCCCTTTTCGACCATGTCTTCGCAAATCTGCACGGATTTGACGATGTCCTCGAGTTGCATGATTGCTTGCGCTAATTGACGTACATTGTCACGACGCTGCTTCAGATTAACAACTTTCAGTCCATCTATAGCCATTTCCTTGTCGAGTTTCGCAAGCTCCCTCCGAAGCCTCTGAATACGGTCCACTGAATCAGCAGCCTCATTGTGTAGCTCCCTGAGAGATCCGAGCGCGGAGAAGAACGATTTCGATGCCGTCGATATGGAGTTTATGAGGTGCACCTCGACCGTATCCATGTACCACGATAACTTCTCTTGCAGGATTGCATTTGTAGCCAGAGACCTTCTCCCAGAAGGAGTTCCGCTAGGGTCACGCACGATCTCCGAATTTTCAGAGACGATATCAAACGTCCTTGGATTCTCGAGGTGGAAATCTTCTTCCGAGTAGACGGCTGGGATCGTCGACAACGGTGTGACCGCCTGACGTCGTTGGCCACTATGTCTCCTTTTCGGTTGAGGCGGCTCTAGCGGAATCGATATTGTCGAGCTCATTGAGCTCGCCCGAGAATGCCCGGGCCTTTGCAGGCGCTTGCTAAGAATAGCCTCCCACTCTTCATTCTTGGTGTCCTTCTTGTCTCGGTGGAACAATGATGTCTCGCCTTCACCCTCATTCTTTGCCCTTTGGAAGGCTTCGTACAGTGAGCCAACCTGCAACAGGTAAGGATGAAATGCCTTGCCTTCGATGTGGGGAATATTCGTAAGGGCAACGGGAGGAATGTCGCGCGGTGTAGGAGCCTTGTACCCCGAGCTGGAAGGGAGGGCCCCTGTTCTCAGCCCTGTATGGATTATCGGGTGTTGCAGGAGTGTCGAGATTGCATTCTGGCTAATCTCTGTTATTGGAGCGGTGTTGATTGACGCTGTGTCGAGGGTGCTAGCCATTGAGCTTGACGTTGATCCACGGCGCCACGCACCTCTTGGGCCTCCATGTTGTCTTTGCGGAATGCTAGGGAAAGGGTATTCGGTTGTTGGGGAGGTGGCTATCGGTGAGGCAAAGGATCCCTGGGATCCAGGCCGGATTGGAGATGCCATCTCATCTTCTTCCCCGGCATGCGCAAGGTCCGGAGGGCTTCAAATATGACTTCCCAAGTCATAAGGGAGTCAAATGCTCAGAGGGGATAAATGTACACGCTGTGAATGCCACATGATTCGTCTGTTTAAGCAGCTTTCGGCCAATTGCTGATGCCTAATCACGAGTTCGGAGGATACGACAAGCCGCAAACGCAAGTGAGATTGGAGGCACCAAGGAGACGCCCAGCTCACCCCTCTTTGGGATGAAAATGATGCCGCCCTGTGCCGGCCCCTGCTTAGCGCGGTTGTCGATGACTGCTGTGACTGGCCCTTAATGTCGGCTGCCACGATCATCTCGCGAGGCTATGGAAATGTCCAATAAAAATGAGTGGTTTCCAAAAGAGGCGTCGTTAACGTTACACTTTAGGCCTGGGGCGCAATCTCAGCCTTACACATTCGCGCCAAGTGTGAGAATATTTCTCCTACAAGTGGCCAACAGCATCGTTTCGGTTATAGCATCTTTCAGACCACTCACTTAGGGTACCGATATTAGCTAAATTAGAGATCGTACGTTCTTTTCAAAATCGCGATGGGACAGCAACGGCTGACCTGGAGAGGAACCCAGCTACAGGTGATTATCCTTCTGAACTCTCTCTTGGAGCGCTCCCTAGAGTCGGGACTCCTCCACGGTCAAGCACGGTCCACACGAATAGTTTTCGCAGAGTCGGTCATTTCAGTAAGGGGTTGTCTTACTGAGAGGTAGAGTCGAAATATATCTATTGCTATTGAGACGTTTGATTCATCAGTAGACAAGATCTCGACGCTTGACCCATCCCAAAATCGAGTCGAAATTTCGGCATGTGTGAAGCATATTAGATTCAACGTATATACTGCCTCTTCCTTCATGCCATCGTGTTGGTACGGGTGTCAGATCACCGTTGCACATAAGGTACTGGCGGATCTGGTCGATGCAATGATCTGTTGCTCACATTAGAGACTCGAACATCCAGAATTCAGCTGGACGGCCCAATCGAGAGCCATGGCAGAGATCCAAAATAACTTACAGTTGTGTATCTGGGAAGGATGATGGATGTCTTGTTTCATGTAGTAATCCAAGTCAAGATGCTGCCTCAACGTGTTCTGCGCACAGCTTTTAGCAACGATATTCGGGGACGAGGCTTCACACTCTTACCACACAGTGTAAAGTATGTAAGATGTCGAGTCTATTGGAATTAGAATCGCGGCTTCAAACACACGGACTGAGTGACTGAGTATAAAACTTACCCTCCAACGTATTGCTTTTGACCATCAACTATGTCATAATAACCATCGAAGTCCGGGCCCCAGACGCTCAAGGCCTCTAACTCAGACAGATAGAAATACCGATCTACCATCTTGTCAGTATCTCATGATTAAAGCCGCTTTTGAATCCCGAGGCCCAAACCGTTGATCAAGTCTGCCCAGTTTTGATCAATTTCTGGGCTCGGGGAGCCCACATATTGTATTTGATCAGGCTCAGGAGCCAGATACGACGATCCATTGGGATGGAAATGCAGGTCACCGGTGAACCTTCGTGTTTCGATAGAGATCTTCTGGGCTGCCGTCCCTAGCTTCAAGTTCAGCATTTCTGTACATTACGTTGAATAGCAGCATCAATGGGCTCACCTAGTTCAGTAGCCCACCCTGTTTCATACGAATATGCGACCCTGGGTCGACGCAAGGTATGCATGGTGACTAGGACTGAGTAAATAAAGAGTATTATTGCGGAAGTAGCGAGAATTGTGCTCCTTTGCGTCCCCCAAACCCCCCTTTTCTGGTTTTGGCGTGGAAACTGGAAGCTCTTCGCGTTGGCCGGAGCACTGCTGCCATTCTCTTCATCTTGAGGCAGGAGGGAGTATTTGGAAGAGTGCGTCGACTGCAACCCGGCCATCTTTGTGGAACCTGAGACGGCCAAGAAGATGTATCTTGGGGAATGTACAGTGTGAGAATAGTGGGAGGAGAGTCTCTGATTTCTTCCGGAAAACGGCAGGTCTTCAGGCGACCCATTTACTCCAGCCCTTTGGAAAATTTACCGAGCACTTGTAATCACATTATTCGAAGCACATATACATAGACCCACTATAGATGATCTTTACTCATCGCCTTACGACGCAAAGTGGCTCCTCCACCATCGCATTTATCTGGACAGGCGTCTATGCACAGTCGTGCTGATTGCAGTCTTCGGCATTACACCGAACAAATCATAGTTCATAGGGAGGTCCTGCGCAGAACTCTAAATAGATCCACGTTCGAACTTCACGCCGATATGTCAGACTCATAGAACACCCTTGTGCAATAGTTAGTGTTTTCGGACATGGTCATCGCCATGATCCTGCAGGAGTTCCATCCTCGTGAACGCATTAGATTGAATTGAACATCGCCATGTCAAAGACCGTGAGTTACGAAAGAAATTCGACCGTCCGCAAATCCCCGTAAGACTGCTTTACATATAAGAGTGTATCCTTGCAGAAACAAGAGTTTCCTTTCCTCATCACCTCAACACCTGTCCATTTTCCCAGAGCAAGGGTGAACCATCTCATACTTTTGAACTCGCACATTCATCATCGGATTACAACGCAAATATGCACCTCCCCTCAGTTCTGGCTCTCTTTTCTGTTGGCGTAACAGTGCTGGCTATGCCTTTGAGCGGCCCCGCCGCCAATCTCGGTGTTGCTCGTCGTGCGCCAGAAGAGACCACCATCGATTTTGACAAACGCGAAGAAACTACCATTGACTTCGACAAGCGTGAGGAGACTACCATCGATTTCGACAAGCGCGAGGAGACTACCATCGATTTCGACAAGCGCGAGGAGACTACCATTGACTTCGACTAAATGGTACGGAAAGGGGACGAGGCTGGTTAGCCATGGTGGAGACAGAACACGGTTAGAATTGGTGGATCGGCAAGCGAATGCCGATCATTCAACCCCTGCGAGACAGAAGTACATAGTAGGAACAAGCTATCACTATCCAGTACAAGTAGGAGCTAGGAGCTGTCGCTATTCATTGGTGCCTTGACGAGAAATTCAGGCGTCCATCTAGTCAGTCTCAA